ACAGCTCCTGCAGAGCAGTAAATTTGGTCTCTTTGCAACACAAGTAGCTATTTGCATTTTACTTGTAAGAAAGCACCTGATGAGACAGAATTACCATGATGGCACAAGATGTGCTGACAGCACTGCTGTTCCATACCCTCAGACCATGGATAAACAAGTCTCAAATGCCAGAATAACCTGCAGGCTGAGGGGTTCCAGTTCTCCATTGCTGTAAGGATGACAGGAGGATTACACTGGACTGGGGAGGTCCCTTTTTTAATGCAAACATAGGCACAGATTGTGCTGGACAGAAATGGAGACTAAATGATTTTTTGTCCTTATCAATTGTAGGGCATTGCCAAGCAGTAGACAAAAAGCTCTCTACTGTCTCTTTACATTCTGTGGCTGAGCACTGAGATGACTGAGGATGTGACTTTTCCAAAGTAACAAATAAAGTATGTGCCTGAAACATGATCATGTATCTGAAGCTTCTCCTGCTAACAGGCTTGAAACTGATGGTGGAGACAGGATGATAAAAAAATTACTCATCATAAAAGGGTCAGACATGAGTAACCAGGATGAGGTGTTAACCTGTCTTCATACACAACTTATGAGATAATTTTAGGTGACACGTCCCCAGTCAAGTATTAAGAGTTACAGAGCAGCTTTTTGAATAAGTCTGTTTTTTACAAAAACACCTAGCAATCATAAGAAAAAATCATACATTCCAGCCTCCTCTGAACAGTGTTATGAAAAAGAGAGCAGGAATTTTACTTGGCCTAAAATATCACAACAGCACATAATCTAGAGGATGCTCAAGATCAGTCCTTTATCCTCTCATTTGCCATTGCACACACTCTAATACCTGCTTCTATTGATCTGACATGCAGAAAACTAGGACAGCTAAAAGAACAGTACCTGCTACATGCAGCAGCATGGCAGGTGTGATCTACCTTGAGGGTGATCAGACAGCCACAGCCAAAAACTAGGACACACGTTTGCCAGGAGGAATTTTGGAATGGACGCTGCATTCTAAGTAAAGCCAAGTAAAAAGACAAGTGCACAATCTGTCCTTGCTGTCTGCACTGTCTCTTTCTTCTAAGGGAATCTCTCATCAAAAAGCCCCACATCAAAAATCACCAACCCAAAATCCCAGGTAATGACACGAAGTCTCAGTAGGGGAGATGGGATGGGACCTCTGGACCTCACCCTGTCCAACCACCCTGCCCAAAGCAGGGTCAAGTCCCTCTGCTAGGGATCCTGAAGACAACTAGCAACTGAGGTATTTTCTCACTTATGCTAACTCTGATGTGTTTTCATGGTTATGAACACAGGAAAATTGTCATTCAGCCATCTTAGAGATACTCAGACCTTTCATACATTTAAGTTTTTTTTCTGACTACTCTGAACATGTATTAGAATACTAAAGAGGCTTTATTTTAAAAATTCAAGCTTGTTTTGGAAACATCATTAATGAACATAACTGTACTCGGTAGACTTGGTTGCAAAATAAGAAGTTATAGATGATTGTAAATTATTTGTGGCACAACATGAGAATTATGAATTTAGAAAGCATTTATCAGCACACTATCTTTTCACAAGTGAAGAAAAGGATGAGAGTACTAATACCTGTGGCTAACATTCCTGTTAGCAGTTTGCCATATCACCAGAATCATCTATAAAAGTAGAACAAACACTGAAAGAAAAGTAGGACATTTAATCACTCCACACCACCTGGAACATTCAGCATTGCATCAAGTGCATGTACTTGGCACACTGAGATGCACTGGACAGATGAACCTAGAATATTTAAGTGGGAAGCAATGGCTACTGTATGACGTTTTGCCTGAAATATTCATCAGGAGACAATAATTTAGTGATTTCTTAATTAAAGAAAAAGAATCCCAGATCTTCTTCTCTACAAAATAAAGGGAAAAGAAAACCCAAAATATAGTTGGGAAACTACTTCTTAGGGTTTAATCAGCTTTTCCTATCACTAATAGCAGGGTATCTTCTGGACCATCTTCTGCATCAATTTGATTTTTGCAGAACAGACTTTTGCATGCCCAGAATACCAAATCTGGCCTCAAGCAGCCACCTTATGTTACAACTCATATGCCATCCTGACATTCTTAAGCGTAAGGATTTGGAGAGGCTTTTTTTTTAAAAAAAAAAAAAAAAAAAAAAAGACATTTTATTGACTTTGATGTTTTTGAATTGCTAAAATGGTATTTTGTAAGAGGGAAAAAAACATTCAGAAAAAAATTAATTCTGTCCAGTGTTACAGTCATTACCCTGACCTGCTGATCTCTGCCAGAGTGCATCCTTGTTCTCCTGAGTCCACAAACTGAGGTCCCTGTCAAGGGTGGTCTACAAAAGCAGCATTGCTCCCTCACATCACTAATTTAGCCAAAAGATGGTTAGGAATCACCAACATTCCTTTCTTATAGGATGGGGTCTCTCTGAATAACTTGCCACTTTCGTGAAATCCCTATGGCAGTCCACCCTCTCTCATGTGTCATGAGAAACTTTGAGAAAAAGTGCAGGGAGCCCCAGGACAAGTGGGAAGGGGGCAGCCACCAGACAGCGATGGGGAAGGAATCGAGGTGCCATCTGTAAAAAGAATGCGAGAAATGGATTGTTAAGGGTGTCAGGATCTGATATTGTACCAGGGGCTCACCACACTGGAGACCTTGCTGAACCACAAAGTGTGTTTCCTAGCAGGCACAGGAACTTCTCTAATTTCAATTTTATGCCAAAGGGGGAACAATTGTTCAAATGTTCTTTTGCTAAGTGGGAAAGATGAGCAGGTGCATTTTATTCAGCCACGATTGCTGAATGTGGGTGTGGGGGTGTGAATTCCCACAGTGTGTGTTATCTCCATAGCTGCCTTTGCCCATTCCCTCCAAACACATTGTACAGGGTTGGGAGAAGCCAGGAAGAATGAGACATGAGCAGGAAGTTGGCTTGTGTCCACTGAGCGGTTTTATACATTTTCTCTGTGTAACAATATTCATTGCTTTTGGTTTTTTTAACCCAGTCTAAGACTCTGTACTGACTGAGTGCAGCAGAATTGAAGGGCTACCATGAGCCAGGTGAGTTCCGTGGCTTGCTCAGATCCTGCTGCTGAGGAGCCAGCTCCTTGAGAAGATGATGAATGGAAGGACCAGGTTGGGAGGGAAGCTCTGGGAGTCTGTTCCATGTCCCTGCCCCTGCCAGCCTGGTTATGATGGGCTGGCTGTGCGGTGGTGCAGGCTGCTCCTCCCTGAGAGCTGAGGGTGCAGAACCTCAGGGGTTGCTTTGGGTCATTTGGAGTTACTTGAGGTCATCTGGGGTTCCTTGAACAGGAAGCCCAGTTAGCACAGACGCTGTCTTTGGACTGTGCTGTTCTAACATCCATCCAGGACTGCAGAGACACCAGTCAGGACAGCTGGACACGGGTGGACCCGTCATACTCAGGTCAACGTCCCTAAAGCCCTGGAGATTTGGCCTTCTCAGCTGGAAGAACAGGATGGGAGACCTCAGCTGTCAGTAGCCACAGACAAGGACCTCTAGTGATTAATGGGCTAATATGAACTGTCATTGTCTACTTTATTCTCTGGATTTACTTGCCACACCTGGTGCAGGCACCAGAGGTGGAAAAGTCAGGAGAGGGTGTTTTAAATGTTCCAGGTTGTTGAAAAAGGTCGATTAATAATACCTAGGGAGACAAATGGAGAAATAATAAGAGGAATGCTAGTTTCTTTACAAACAATTTGACGGGTAAAGGTGTGGATGTTAACGTGTTTGAAATTGGTCTTAAGGTCTCTGCTGACTTTGGGCAGCAGGTTTGTTGCTGAGAGCTTGGCTCCTGAAACAAACGAGGGTCTGCAGAAGCTTGAGCTTCGGAAATTTTGGGTAAAACAATACATTCAAGGTGGGTATGTGGCAGGCAGCTTGGGTACCTTCCTAGTACCTCAGCCAGTGGGGAAAGGAGGAGGGCAGCATGCAGCTGGGAGTTTAGGATAAAATGAGGCTGTGCCCTCTAAAACCTCGAGAGAAAACCCCACAGGTGTGTGCCCCAGTGGACTCTCTCCCTTTATTCAAATAAAGTTGCAGGACTCCTCTGTCTCCTTTTGGACATAAACCTCTGGCATTTGTGGGTTTTCCTGACAAAAGCTTTACTGAAATCCAAAAACATTACAAATACTGGCTTCCCTTGATCAAATGGGTGGGTTATCTTGTGAAAAACAGCTATAGAGAATACTGGTTACAACCTAAAGCTAGGGCGGGCTACCACCACTAGTTTGTCCCAAAGCTTTTTCTATGACGAGGTCAGATCTTGCCCCTTGGTTATGTTTCCACCTTCCCTTGGCAGGATGTTCACGGCTGCATGGCATCCTTGTGATACTGCTGTTTTCCACGTGTGCTTGCAGACATTTCTCCAGGTTCTTATGGCCATCCCAGTAGTTAGGCTTAAACAGCAAACCCCAGCTACTTCCAGGACAATACTTCTTCCAACTGCGTATTCTGGAATATTTTCGGTTTGTTTGTTTGTGATTTTGTTTTGCTTGTGAATTTTGATTTTCTTTGGGTTTGTTGTCGTGTTTTGTTTGGTTGGTTTGGGTTTGGTGTTTTTGACAGATTTGAGGTTTTCTTGGGGTTTTTAATGTTTTTTGTTTTGGTTTTTTTGTGTTTGTTTGTTTGTTTTTGTTTCGTTTTGCGGGCGGGGGCACCACCGTGGGTATTTACTGATGTGGAAAAAAGACCCATTCACCCGCTCCATCTCCGCGCGCTCCCGGCAGCGTCAGCGCTGGCAGCCCAGACCACAGCAATAGCTCCTCTGCGGGGCTGGACCAAGACAGGGAGCGCCGGGACTGTGGGGAGGGTGAAAGCTCTTTTCCCTGGGATTCGCGGGGGTTTTGTTTGTTTGTTATTTTGTTGGTTAGAGCGCAGTGCGGCCGGGTGTGTGCGCGGAACGCCGGGGCCGCGGGGCCGTTTCCAGCCGAGCCGAGCTGCGCCGGGCACGGGAGCGGCGGCGCGGCGGGGCGCCATGGCGAAAGTGCTGGCGGCCCTCAGGAACCACTGGAAGAAATCCACCTTCGGGGCCTGCCTGCTGGGCTGGGGCGGACACTGGCTCTATGGGAAGCACTGGTAATGCCGGCTGGAGCCGGGCCGGGCGGGGAGGCGGCAGGCAGAGATGGAGGGACGGGCAGCGCCTAAGATGGGGGTCCCCTGTCGGAGGGCCCGGCAGGCAGAGGGGATGGCTCGGTCTCCCTCCAGCTTCAGCAGCTGTGGGCGTGGGAAGCTCAGAGCCTTTTCCTGCCTTCCCACGTCGGCCGTGGTGTAAGAGTGGGGCGGGTTCAGGCGGGAGGTTTAAACAGAGGGGATGTGGCTGGCGTGAGCAATGTTGGGGCCTCTTGGAGAGGAGGAGATTCTCTGTCTTCTAAACTAAAAATTAATGTCATGAACCATAGTGTGCCTTCAGCTTGCTTGCTTTTAGGCTGTGTGATAAGGATGGCTGGCACCAGGCCCGCAGGATGTGCTGAGCGTGGCCCATCCCAGCGTGGTGGCCCTGTGGCGGTGGGTGCTCCCACCTCCCCCTTTCCCACCTCCCCCTTTCCCACCTCCTTTTTGCTGGAGCTGAAGTCCTTGTCTCTTCCTTGAGGCCTGGCACAGGCAGCCTTGTGCTGTCCCTCCCTGCTGTGGTGTTTGCTGTTGTCGCCCACCCAGCTTGGAAGGAGCCTGTCAGCTGCTCCTCCCATGAGTTATACCTAGTGGTGTCATTCCCACTGCTTACTTGTGGAGTAAATGTAAATTTACAGTAAGTAAAATCCTCACTGGTGTTCTTTAAAAAGATGAGTTTATATTTTTAATCCTTGTCCTTCAAGATTATGGTTAATACATTTAACCGAATAGCAGGTGTAGCCAAATTATTTTTTAAAACTTATTTTTGGTTCTGCTGTTTATTATCACTATCTTAATGATTTTTAAGTGTTTTGTCAGGTTTTTAACAGTGCCCTTTTCTGCTTACATTGCAGTGCTGCCAAAGCCTCAGTAGAAACATTAGGAAAATCTGTTTATGTTGTATTTATACTTTCCTTCTTCACATCCTTTTGCTTAGGGACTTTGGCATTAATTCAGCCTTTATTTTTCATGTTACATCTGCTTTAGTTGCCTGAAGCACTGAGGCTCAGTGTCCCCTTTGTGTCTGTTGTGTCTGCGGGTTCTTATGCCCACATGCTGTTGGTTTCAGATGTACATTGATTTCTTGTGTGGTAGTGGTGAAACTGTGTTTGGAGCACAGAGAATGTGGAGTGTGCCACAGGTGATGTGATGGGGAATAAGGAGGAAAATATGAAAAGCAAACAACCAAAAAGGGAATCTTTGGTATCTGAATTTTGGTGCTGAGGGTTGCTTACTCCAAATGTAGGCATGGTGCTTTAACCTGGATGATAGACTGGGAGCAGAAAAATTTTGCATATCCCATTCTCTGTCCTCCCTTTAATCTGTAAAAGAAAATACAGCATTTTCTTAGGAGACACTGGAAATGCAAGGTAGAAAATCCTGTGGTAACGGACAGCTCAATGAGACTTTGATGTAGTCTGCAGCTACTGCCTTCTGAGTTTGAAGCACTGTTTGGAAGCACTGCAACTGTTTAGCAGTTTCTGGGCCATTCTCTGTGGAGAGTTTTTTTATCCAGGTTAGAGAACAACAAGGAACAACAAGAGCCTGATGGCAAGAGTGTAGAAAACAATTCAGAGGTGATCTCAACAGCCCTTTGTGATGCTCTGTGAACAGTGAGCACCTTACCTTGTAGCAGCTGGACAGCAGGGTGTAGGCCAGGATCCCTCTCTGCAGCTTGTGGGGATGGCTTTTGGTGTGTTTTTGTACATTCCCTCTTCCCAGTTTCTTTGTCTATGTCCCAGTTGTGCTGGGGAGCAGAGAGGTGCATTTTGCCCCATGCACAGATTGCCACGGGCAGTGCTGGAGAGAGGTTAATGAAGGATCTGTAAGGGGCTGTGTTGGCCCTGAGGCTTGTTGTTATCTACATCAGAAGCTCAATTGCTGTGCATGAGCCATACCTGACTAGACTGATACTTGGTCTTTGAGAACACATTTAAAGTGTAGTGAGGTCTTGTGCTTTGGTTTCTGGCATCACAAGTTCCTGATGATCCTGATGAAGAGCCTTGCTTTAGCACAGCATTGGTTCAGATTAGCCTCTGACTTCTTGGAAGTAGCTGAGATGTTGGTCATTTATTTGCAGGCAAAGAAAATTTTTGTTTGCCATCCTGCATCCCTCTTTCCGCCCTTGTGGGTTTTCTAAAATATTTCTCTTGTGGAGAGAAGGTAATTTGCTTTTTTTGACTTCTCAAGGTTCCTTCCTCCTTTTGGATGCAGCAGCCATGATGCCTGCATTAAGTGGAGCTGTTGTAAATAACAGTCTGTCCTGCAGCTCTTCTGTAGTCAGGGACAGAAGAGCTCTGAAGTACTTCCTTAAGACTTTGGAGGATGCTATATGGACAAGAAGAATGTTGCCTTTTCCAGGCTTGCTCCCAGTGCCTCCTCCCTGCCTGGAAATGGGTGTGGGAGCCCCCTTGCACACCGTGAAGACTGTGCTGTGGAGCCCGGTGTGGATGTGCTTGTGCTCCCTAGGGTGTAAAGGGAAGGAGGGGCGCTGGAGTGCGATGGATCATCACTGAGTTGCTCTAAAGGTGGCAGTAATTGTGAAGGTTGAGGAGCTGCTTCGTCCCGGTACTTTCTTCCTGCAGCATTTAGTTTCTGGATCAATGTATTAGCCTTTCAGTTTGGGATGTGTTTGTTCAAATACTGACTGATTTAAAAGTAAGGAGATTTGGATGAGCAGGAAGAATAAAAGGAGGAACCCTTGTACTTTTTCCTCTTCTCCCATGTGTTATTCAGCCCTTCTAAGCATGTGATAGTAGAGAATGTACCCCTTCAACAGGGGTGTGAGTCAGGAGGTGACAGAGGTTTTTCATGTCTCAAATGACAGGAGTCATGTCTGGTTGAGCTACCGTTAACTAGAACCCTACTGCCATTCTTGTGAAACCATCATGCATATTGAAATTCCTTTTGCTCTCATAAAATTATATATTTTAAAAATCCATTGTCTTGCATTTAGGATAGCAAATACTCTTGTGCTGTCTGAGAAGAAGGAGGATAACTCAGTGTTGCTACGTGTGTGGTTGTCTTTAATTTCTCTAGATTGCATGAATTTATATATTAGGCTCATTTAAATCTCTAGCATATCGTGCTGCAGGTACAAGGTATACTTAATTTAATATCCTGGATCAAAGCTTGCAGGGTATGCAGATTGTCAGATGTGTGTTAATACACAGTGACGTGCTTTTGCTTAGCGTACGCAGGTGAGGTTGATTACAAGTAAAGATTGTTCTTTGCCATATGATTGTTCTAAAACTTTCACCAAGTTTGGAGTCCCCTCTCAACTTTATGTCCTGGGTCACCTTTCCTGAATTGAGCTGCAGCTGTTCTCTGTATCCCCAGGGGTTGCAGTGAGTTACCAGCTCCGTCAAATCAGCAGAAATGAAATCTCCAGAATGAGGGACATGAGCTGAACTGATTGTCAGATTTGACCAGACTGCTACAGTGATGCCACTGCATAAGTGATCATCACCATGTCAGGACAGAGACCTTGGATATTCTACTGAGGCAGTGGACTAATCACATACTTAGTTTTACTCTGTATATGTTAACGTATTGACATTCTCAGTAGAAAATGCTGGCAAAGCACCTGAGCCTTTGACTTCCTGCCAGTAAACCTGAGTGGTGCTGTTATCAACAATTTGAATGTTAGTCTCTGTGTGTTTTCCAGCTGATAACTCACTTTGTCACCTTTCTGCATATACTTCCTCAGTAGCTGACTTTATTTCATCAAAACTTTGTCAAAAAAACAGAGTATAAATTCTGAGTCTTAGGTAAAGCTGATGAAACCTAAAATTTGTCTTTCATGCCCTTCCAAGGCCAAAATGAAAGTAAATCCTAATATCCAGTAAAGAGGATTCTGTGCTCTTTCTGTATTAGAAGCAGCCAGAAAAGCTCTCTGCTAAGATAAAATCTTTTTCAGGAGTTCTGATATAGCTCCAGAGGACTGATCCTGTGTGCACAGCTTTGGTCAAGTTTCTCCTCACAAAACTCTGTGTTTTGATGCAGACACTGAACTTTAAAGTTTTTTGGCTTCTTCATATTTGAGTATATTTAATAGTCTTAGATTTAATGCTGATAACCCAGTTTGGAATGAGATCCTGAGCTTCTTTTTTACATTTTTTAATGTGATCATTTTAAGGGGAGTTGCTTTGGTTGGATCCAAGACAGATGCTTGCTGCAGCTGAGAGCCTCAAGCAGTGTCAGTTTAACTTTGTTGTCTTCTGCTTGTTGCACTCATTGCTGCCCTGGGTGACCTTTCATCATGGGAACTGTCCTTTCCACCCTGGCTTCTGCTGGCACTTGGGCACAAGGCTCAGTCTCATCTCGAGAAGCATCCACACTAAATTGTGTGGATCTTGTGCTTATGTGTAAGGGTGTGAATGCCCTGTTCCAGCTGAAAATGTCGAGGGCAGGAGCAGTGGTCAGCTGTCCTGCACTAGGGGTGTTGCAGAGAAATCAGAACAGCCCTATCAGGGTGAGTTGTACAGATGTTGTGTGCTGTCAGCCTGGCATGGCTGGGGCGTGCGGAGCTGTGCACAGTCACTCTTGTGTCCTTTCTGTGTTGGTTCCATCCTTTGGTGTGAGCCTGCTCTGTTCTCCACAGAGTCTGTGCTGCTGTGGCTGCTGGCCTTGAGGCTTTGCTGGGAGTGTTCTGTCTGTGGGTTCAGCCTGGGACAGCCTCTTTCTTCCAGACCCTGCTGCCACTTTTTGTTCCTCTCCGTTTCCCAATTTTTTACTGCTTAAGCAAGTTGGCCCAGCTGTAAGCTGTGTGACACTTAATTCTCACAGCAGGAAGACAGCCCTGAGTTGGCCAGCAGATGCAACACTGCTTGTCTGTTTGGCTGTGATGCTGAATTGTGTAGATAAGGCCTTAGGGGAAACATAAAGTAAAAATTGATTTTTAGTTTGCTGTGGATATGGTGCAAGTCAGGAGAAATCTCTGTGTGTTCTTTAAGGCAATGGAGCAATTTCCCTCCACCTCCACCTGCTCATGTTTGAGCATTGCTGAAAAGGCTTTGTTACTACCTAATAATAGACAATATAGTACAAAAAAATCAATGAAATCTTACATTTATTAATAAAGTCTCATCTTCTCTGGGAGCTGGTGAGCAGTCGTATTTTGAGAATGAATACATGCTGAGGCAGAAGGCTTTAAGAAGTTACCTTTTAGCTGGTTTTCACATTTTTCTAGCTCTGTTTATTGGTTGTTATGACCTGCAGAGGATTTGCAGTGCCACTTGGGGTACTTTAGGTGAGCCAGGTGAGGTGAGTAAAGGCAACAGCTGTGATGCAGAAGGAGAGCTGCTGTTCTTACAGGTGCATCCCTGTGACTGTACCTGTGCTGGTTTTTTTCTGGAGTTTGAAGCTAGTTAAATGTTGACATGATATTTTAAGGAAATAAAACATTTACTGTTATCTGGCACCTTTAAACCAAACTTGGGACCTCCTTGACAAACTCAGATGACTTTGAAATGTCCCAGTTGAATTAAGTGGAAATCCTATGAGTATGGCTTGGATGGTATGGGATTCTGGGTGCTGTGCTGCTGGAGAAGTGAGACAAATATCCTGGAAATTGCTGATGGTAAATGATTTTTCTAAACCTAAACTTTTCCTTTGACACCAAAATGGTAAGTGTCGAAGTAGGCTTCTTCTGTCTCTTTAAGTGCTTCAATGCAGGAGAAAATCAGCATAAATGTTGACATCTAAGCTGTCAAGCTTAATTTTTATGGGTAAGACTCATTGAGGTGAATCCTTGACAGTTGTTTTGAGGTTCTTTGAGGTTGAGAAGGGGAGCACAATATCTTCTGCTTGCATTTGGAAAATGTTGCTGGACGTCATTTTAAAGGCAGTTAGCACTGCAGCATAAAGCTGCGGGCGCCAGGAAAACAAACTGGCTGACAGTGTGAACAGAGCTTGACTTCTGAACAAAATAGCATCAATGTGAAGTAAACAGATAATGTGGGTTTGGCTGGGATTTGTTCAGAAGGTTAGGACAGCAATTCTCAAAGACATCAAGTGTGCACCCTTTCATTTGATAGTGGGGGCTCCTTGATATGCCATAATATTTCAACTTTATATATTGAAATTGCAATTATTTTCTGTTCACTTTGGCCACACATGGTCACAGAGGAGGGGGAAAATGTCCCTGTGTGAGGGCTCATGCCCTCAGTGGCACAGTGTGGACTCCACCTGTCATACTGTCTTGATTGAGCTGGAATTAGCTGTGACACTGCTGTTGCACGGCTTGGAACACCAACCTTTGTAGAGTTATTTTAACTGCTGCATTTCCATCATAATGCTGCAATCAAACCCAAGGCTGTTGCTCCTCTAAGTGATATTGCAGGTGCTCAATACAAATTATCTACTCCTTTGGTTTTAAGGAGCGAATATGACAGTATGGCTCTGGGGAATTTTTTTGCAGACATTCCAGTTGCTTGTTATCCTGATGAGGTATTATTCACGTATTTTCTTTTTCCACGCTTCACCTCTTCCTTTGTCTTTTCGTTATTACCAGGAATAAATCTGTGGCTTTTATGCTGTGGTTATTTTCTCAGAACCCAATTTTATATCTCACCTGAAGTCACCCTACTTCTCGTTTTATGGCATTGCAGCATCTCTTGGTGATGCCAAAAAGAGCAGCTTATATAGTTCCAGTGACAGAGAAATACTGTAAACCAATGGAATCAAACAGATGGCACCAGGGTTTGGCCTTGCCTTCTCTTCTGCCATTTCCGTGGCAGGGTTTGGCCTGACAAGCCACACTTTGAGGCAGAAGTGTGCTGTTCTCCCAGTCACCTGTTTTTGTCTGGTGACCTTTAATCCTTTTGGTTGATACAGTGTTAGTTTTGGTATGCTGACTATATGTGGAGGTTTTTGTATGTAATGTTTTGAGACAAGAATATATGGTCTTGCCAGGTATTGGGAAGCACAAGCTGCAGGATGGAGAGTGTTGGTACCTAGAGGACAGGCAAGACTCTGGGCACAGCAGAACAGTACTTGCCATTTTGTCTGCAAGGGGAAATAGGGCATTTTTGAGGCTGGGGAAGGAACAGACTTCGATTACTCACTCAGTAGCTGTGTCTCCAGTGCTTACCATCTATATACCCTGCTTGCCAGTGACAAGTCAGGTGTGTATTTCTGGAATGATCATCTGTGACATATCTAGCAATGATCAACTTTCTTTTGTTTTTACACTTCACTTAATGAGTGTTTTTCACCTCTCTGAGTTACTGCTTTGGGCCGTGCTCAGACCTAGGTGGGTGGGAGGTGCTGCATTAAGGTGTGTTTGGCTTGCAAACTGATGGAGAGGGGAGTTCACAATTGTAAAGCACAAAGACTTCTCCCTAGAACCCTTCTACTTACTCTACTCTTACTGCCAGAATGGTAAGTACATTCCTGTAAACACCAGGCAGCGAAAACATTGGAAAAACCCACACCTGAGCTCTGGAGTACAGTTATGAAGCAATTTAACAAATAAATCACAGTTTCACAATGTGCCAGAGCTGATGTCATTGTCTTTGTTTTCTGCTTTCCTTTTGTGTAGAAAGAATGTTTGTGTGCACATGCAGAAAAAAATATGCATGTGTGTATAAATGGGGGTGTTTTATCCTTAAAATGTTTTGGGGCTTTTTCTGTTTCAGTGTTGTCAAACTGTGTGTAAAAGTGGTTTGTACATACATTTTAAAAATGAGCAAACTGTTTAAAATTCGCACAACATAATGTCCCCTCTCTTTTCTGTCTTACCTGATAGTGATAACCTGCTACGAAGAGCTGCATGCCAAGAAGCCCAGGTAATACCACTTAAAGTAATAAAATTAGATTAAAATCTCCCTCTTATCTTGGTTGTGCATGGCTCCTGAGATTTTCCCAGCAGGCCTTTCCTACATGACAAGCCTTATAGTGATGCCATCTGTGTTCTTTCCCTTAATGCCCAGGGCTGCACGGGGGGGTACTGCCCCTTGCGTGTCCTGGCTGCTGCTGCAGGGGAGTGCAGCATTACCCTTGGGGCGATCTTAGTCACTGCTGGAGCTACCCAGACCTCCATTGCTGCACATGAGCCTGTAAACTTCTGGTGGGAAGATGATTTGTTGATAAGAGTGAAATCCCAGCCCCACCAGGGGTGTGTAGTCTGGGCAGAAGCAGCGCAAACCGCTTCATGTCAGTGCTCAGCTGCAAAGACCTCTCCCTTGTCTGTTTGACCCTGAGTGATTTTATCAGGGGGATGCCAGCTGTGATGACTGACTGACCCAGCTCTTTTGGGACCCATGTAGTGGGAACTTAATGGGGACAGCGTGGTTGCTGATCAGTGACAAGAAGGCCACTGTTTGAGAGGGGAGAGTTACTCTCAGGGTAGCATTTCATAGTTTGTTGCCTGCATGGGCAAACAGCAGTCTACAAACTCCCATACTGTAATATTCCCACAAAGAAATCTTGTCCTTAATAACCAGTCTTTTGGAGGTGTAAGTGCTACTGCCCATGGGTGACATCACTTCTGTAAGATTTTAAGTTTTTACCTCCCACAAATAAAGTTTATTCTAAACCTGCTTGTTCATGACAGATCTTTGACATTTTGCAGGGTGTAACGCTTCTCCCACCATTGCTATATACTGGGGCCTGAGTAGAATGGTAAAATTATTTTTTTCTCTGTAGAGAAGTGTTGTGCACCTGAATTATCCCAATTTCAGCCTGTCTACTGTTGAAAGATTTTCACAGCAACTAGTCTTGTGCAGTGGATCTTCATGTCAGAATAGATGTAAGGGAGCTCACTGCTCATGAAAAAGCATGGAAAATCTTTCCCTGAAAATACTGCTTTCATAAACCATGATTTTTATTTATAAAAACCAGAGGTTTTTATTTTCAATATTAATTTTTACTGCATAATAACAAAGTGATAGAAGTTTTTTATAGCACAAAAAATAGCCACTAATACCTCCGTATTTGAAGCATGCTGACCAAATTAAACCAATTTTTTTAAAAGGTGCTGATGGAGTGGTTTATGTGTACTGTCAAAAAAGTGTAAATGCCAAGGAAGGGACTGGTACTAGCAGAAGTTCAGTTGTGGAAATCCTGAATTTCCCGTTTCTTAAGTCCAGTTATTAAGTGGCAGGTTCTATTCCATTATGGCTTATTCTTGAAAATTAAAACACAAAAGCACTGTCAATAGAGCTTCCTGCAATTTTAGTGGTTAAAGCCTGGGAAAATGTCCTGCAGAAGACTCCTGTACTAGAAAGGAATGAACCAGAAAGCCTAGTAATCAATTTTTGCTGTAATTTCCATTCTAACTGATGTGTCAGTGCCAAGTACTGCTTGAAAACACACAGCAATACTGCATTAAGGCATTAAGTGTCTGGTATGTTCTTCAGGATAACAACAATCTAAAATTGTTTGAAAAATGCTACTTGCTTTTGTAGTGCTGCATATAGGTATTGGAAAAAAAAATAGAGGCAAATTCACTGAAGAAAAAGTTTAGTCTGGATGAAGTGTGTGTAAAGTTCTTACCATTTTTACATTGGATTTTTAGATTTTTAAGCCTGTTACATTATCAAATTGATGAGGAACCTGCCTTCCTGAGAAAGTATCCATGACAGCAGTATTTCCTGCAAAGGTTCTGCCACGTGTGTCTGGATTTAAATACCAGTTTATAATGACAGCCTTGATGTGGCAAATGATTATGGAAAGATTCTATAATAAAGAGCCCTTTAGTCATATTTTTAACATTTTACACTTCTGTCTCTGGAATAAGTCAGTGTCAGCTGACTCGGACTTCTGTGGCAAATCAGTCTTGCTGATTGACCTTTTTGTTGCTAAACTCTGGACACGTGTTAAAGAGGTGCTGTTTAGCTGACAACAATTCACTCAAGGATAGTTTTCTTTAAAAGAATGTAGTTTCTTTGCTGGTATTTATAAAGCACTATAAAAGCTTTGCATAAAGGGTTTTTCATAGTTGTAAAATAGTGATTGTCATTGTAGAAGTCCAGAAATACAGTACCTGGAAGTGTGCATTTGACAAGAAAGTGAAAAAGGCATTGACTTACCTAAATTATACCTTCATATATATATTTAATTACCATTTATATGGTATGACTATTAGTTGTCTTTACTTATGTTCTGCTCTGAAAGACTTCTAGAATATTGTATTATTATTTTTTTATTTCCTGTCTTACAAATCAGCATTTGCTTTAGAAATGTCCCTGTATGTAACATAAATGTCTAAGTATATTACATGAAGAAGCAATTATGTCATTACTAATAAAATCTTTATGAGCCTTGTTGGGTTGTTTAGAGCCTTGTTAGATAGCATGCAAATACATCATATCATGCCCCCTAAGCAAATAATTAGTTGTTTCTAACAGCTGTAACGTGCTAGAGGTCCCCTATTCCCCAATTCCCACCCAACAATTGCAATATAATAAGTTGGTGTTTTCCAGCTGATCTTTGAGTAACACTTAAGAGCTATTGATTTGTTTCACTTTGAAGATTTCTTTACTCTCAGCAACTTTCCTCATCCTTTTTCTTCCTGAAGAAGAAATTCAGATGTTTTAAGCAGTACAGCCAGCTGTACCCTTCTTTAAATTGAGGTTTCCTGAGCTCAAATTTGCAAGTGGAATTAATAATAAGTTTGAACAGCTAACAACCACTAAAATATATTCTTTGTGTACAGTATCACCTCCTTCAATATAAAAATTCCTGCTAGGGGGTTAACTTCCAAGATAAAAAGGAAAAAAAGCCAGGGACAGTTGACTGGGCCCTGTTCAGCGCTGGTTCCTACTCTTTCTGGGGCTTCTGGATGGTATTGCTGAATACCTTGTATTCCTTGTGTTCAAATCCAGTTTGATTAGGTGTGTTAGTGAGGATGCCTTTAACTGACTTTCTAGAGACTTAGAGCAGGATGTAACATATGTGGATGTCTTGCATTTTCTTGCTGTGCTGAACAGTTTTGGAAATAGGTACGAAGTGCAAGAGACTTTGTGGAGGAACTCTCAAAGAATTTAAAATTGAGATCCCTCTTCAGAACTGGATTAAATGTTGAAGAGGAATTGAATGACTTTTATAGAGAGAGATTAGTTTAAAAAAAGTGTAAGAAACAGTGGACTTGCTTATAGGTCAAGGCAGATTCTCTTGTAATTATCTTTCCTGTCTTCAAAAACTGAAGCATAGAAAATAATAGAATAAGTAGAAGAGATAGAGGAATTAAAGTTCAGAAGTTGGAAAGAATGCGGAGAGAAGGTGGCAGGCAGGTGTATGAGAATTACATAAGGAAAGAAAATCCCATAACCTTGGAGTCAAGGAGAGCTCCCTGGATCTCTGCCCATTGCAGAAAACCAGAGGTTGACAAAAACGAAGTGGTGGTGGAATTGTAAAAATGAGCTAAAGAGTACTTATGACAGTGATGTGAGCTGCTGCTAAGAGTGCAGATCTTTGAATAAGAGACCTGTACAATGGCTGAAGATGGAAGTCATCTGAATGTCATGAGGCTTGAAAGCCCATTGACATTTGTAGAGATGCATTTTTTGGAACTGTTTTAGCAGTGTGCTTAAAAGATAAACTGAGCCCTGCCTTTTTTCTCTTACTTAGGCTTTTGGCAACCAGCTGATCCCTGCCACTATGCCATTGAAGAAAGCAACAGTCTTCCTGAACCCAGCAGCTTGCAAAGGGTAAAATTCCCCCTTCCCAGCATTCTCATTTGAGCCACTCTTTCTGCATTTTTGCTCTGCTATCCACTATAAAAGCCAGCCAGATTTTTGAGCTCATTTTTGCCTCCCTCTGGTGCCAAGCTGGTGCTATGTAACTATGCCAAACTTTATTTCACCAAAAGTATTGGGATGAGAAATAGAATTAGTTGCTTGAGGTGGAAGAGTAATTTCTAAATATATGTATAAATATATATATATATATAATTTCATTTTTTTTCTTTAATCTTGTGTTTTGGCCTTTGTCATTCCTTTGAATGTAGAATTTCTTTGTCTTCCTTCCAAACTTTTGCATCTGATATATTTCCATCCTCAAAAACTAGAGGAATGAGAGATGACCTTGATTGCTTCAAGACTTGAAGTTGGCAAGAAGTGATCTTACTTCTGTGGGAACCTGCCCTTGACAGGGATGTGCCCACAAACTGAGAGGCTAAATATGGGCTCGGAGCAAGACTCCTGGAAGAGGTCGGCTGCTATTTTTACGTGCTCATTAGCAGAAAACCATAATCTTGGATGTGATGTGTGCCTGTTTCTGCTGATCAGCTAAGCTTTGGAATAGTTGCATTTTGTGGAGGGGCAGAGAATTGCTACTAGCAATATGAGGGGAATGTTACAGATGACATGGAAGTGCTTGGACTCACATGCTTCTGTGAGTCTGGAAAATGCATAGTATTAATCAAGTCTCATGTTTGTAAACAATTTATAGTTAGTGATATTTTATTATGCAATGACAGGCATAAAATTATCAGTCCTGTAACAAAAAAGGTCAGATAGAGTTTTGCTTCTAACATTATTTAATAATATGCAGTAATAAATAATTGGGATTTTAAAAATATTTCTTAAAGCACACATGAGCCATCTTTGTGGTCCTAAAGGCTGTTGCTTTGTAAGTTATTAGTTTTCTAATAAATTTCTTTCTGGAGATCTTAGTTTATTTTAATGGGTTTTTAAAATTATTTTTGGCAAAACTTAGATGGCATCTTGTGCATTTATTAAAACTGCAATAAAACCCTGACATCTGACATATGAGACTAGAAATGTAATACATTTGAACCACACAAAATCTCATCTTTCCTGACTGTCAGGTTGAGCAACTGATTATGGAAAATGAATTCTTGGTTTTAAGTAGATTTCTTCTTGCTCTTTGTTTATTTTTAAATTTTTTTCAGCCACAGCTGAAAAAACTCATTAAACTGTTTTTACTCTGTTATTTCTAGCAAAGCTGGGAACCTTTTTGAAAAGAATGCTGCACCAATTTTACACTTATCTGGCTTGGATGTAACTGTGGTTAAGGTAAGAGCTGATGGGTTCTTCCTCTGCAGAAATATTGACTGCTCTTCTTTCTCCTCTTGGAGAATTGAAATTCAAATCTGCATGCATTTGGAATTCTCAGTTGTCCTGTAGACATCTTATAGGAAGAAATAAATACTGAGATATTAAGCTGATACTTAATCTTTATAATTCACAGTTAGTTTTCAAGCAGTGTAGTGAGATTTTAATTTTCAGCTAAAGCAGTACATATGCTTGTTTGTCTCTCTAAAGCAGCCCTTCTGTAATTCATGTTTGAGAGAAAACTCTCTGAATATTTGAGTGCTGGCTAGTGGTGCGTGCCCATTGCTGTTGAAATTGTCATTTTTGCCTGAACCTGAAGAATTGAAAAGTGAGGAGTTTTGACATGCAGTTGAACTGTTCAGATTAATTTAAAAAATAAGCTTTTATTTTCCCACTGAATTTATTTCTGTGTCTCTCCAAATAATTCAATGTTTCCACCATGTAAGTAGAATCAGCTTTAAATGGTGTGAATTAACAAACAGGTTTTATTTGGAAAGAGAAGAACAAGGAAACATTGAAGGGATTCTTATCTTTCTGCAGTTTTTTTGAGGCTGTGATATGTAGATTGCTTAAAAATCAGTGTGTCCTAACAGCAGAGCACTCTGATATGCATCTGTCTGTCTTGGAATCTTTTCCACAAGGTTTAGTATTAAAATGCTGTTTTTATTAATCCCTTTCTCTAATCATTAAAAATACCTAGGCTCACCCTAAGAGAAGAAATTATTTTACAAGACTTAAAAATGATGCTTAGTAGCATCAGACCTGACAAGTTGGCGAAACGGGGCTGGACAAGGAAGTGAGGCTGAGATGGCTCTGTAGAAGACTTTAATTTTGTAGAAGACAGTTTTGATGGTTTAAAAAGTCAGTACTCTTTACTGTTAATCCATTGTCAGTGGCTGTCAGGCAGTGGCCTTTTATGTAGTTGATGCTGTGATGCTGTGTTTCAGGAGATGCACTTGAGCACTTTGGCTGTTAAAGATAGTGAAAGCTTTTCTGCAAGTGGTTGGCTTCTGGTTTTGTTTCAATATAATATTACCTGGAAATAAGATGATTGCTGTGGTATTCTAGGTCTATCAAGTAAGATTTGCTCTGATATTTCACTTAACCTCTGTGTGTGTGTGTTTACTTACACATATTATATTATACATCAAAATGGTTTTACCAGTTGAAAAAAAATTCTGATTGTAAGTAATATACAGTACTGTGTGCCTGTATAAAAATAACTATTAACCACATGGATAGATGATTCTTTTTTCTGTAAAAGAGATATACTAGAAATAGTCATTTGAGTCCTCATGTTGGGATCTCTGTTTCTTCAGACTGATTATGAGGGACAAGCAAAAAAGCTTCTGGAATTAATGGAAAACACAGATCTGATCATTATTGCAGGAGGAGATGGCACAGTCCAAGAGGTACTGCTGGAGCCTGGTTTGTTGGGAATCATAGCTGGGATGAGGGCAAGAAGACTGAGTCTGTGCAATGTAGCAGCATCATAACAACTGTTCCTAGAGATCTGTCCAGTTTAGTATCTGTATTTCACAAAATACTATAATATTCTGGGGACAGAATACTCTGCTCATTGGTATTAGTCTTACAGTGATGATGGGAGTGGGGCAAAAACAGTGTGTGGCATAACTATCTTCCAGAACTTTATTCTAGAATGGGCAAACGCTTTGGAGGGATGTGGCTCTTTTTTTCTGTGTGATGTAGTTGTAATGGTTTGATTTTTAAAGTTTTTTCCTTTCTGTATACTCCCTAAGACGAATGCATATTTTGCTAAGTGGGAATCAGATAATTTAAAAATTACATGGGAATGATAACAAAGCGTGGAACATATTTAATGTATGCCTATTGTTAAGATGATTAATGACAGGAGCAGAACCAGGGGATGCTCTTTCTAGACTGTATTTTACTCAGGCAGGTCCTGGTTTCTAACTGCTGATTTCATAAGACAATGGCTAAATTAATGCAATGACCTTAAGAGAAAGTGATCAGAATACATCTGCAAGTTCATTCTGGCCTTTTGTTACTTGTACTGACCAGTGCTGGTTTTGCATTATGCAGAGCATCATTCAGTGTTAAAACATTTACACTGGCATTGGTTGTGGTGCCAGCATGTACTCAGGCTCACTCATTAACCTGCTGTTTCTAACACGTTTGCAGGCTGAGCATTCCTCCCTTGCCATGTAAACAACTGTAGCACTTTCCATGAAAGAGTAGCTGCTCCTTAAATCTTCTCAAAGAGTAAACACAGATGAGAATTCCATAGCTTTTTACTGTAACTGAAAAATAAATTTAAAAAAATAAGCATTTCCCATGTTTTTCAGGTCATAACTGGACTTCTCCGTAGAGCAGATGAGGTGAGAAGGTGTCATTTTAAAAATTGTGTTTATTTCTTGGAGCGGCTTGTGCATCTGCTGTGATCTCTTGGCCTCAGCTGCCTCCAGCAAATACTTACTAAGCTGGAGCCCGCTTGCTGTGCAACAGTCCAGCTGGGCTACTGTCCTGCAATGCTGCCTGTTGTTCTTTGTTCCCTTTCTGAGGGAGTGCAGTGACTCCCAAGCCATGGCTTTGGGAAGTTTCCAGCGTCAGAACAGGGATTGTGGAGAAGCCAAATGCTCAATTTTCAAAGACCCATGGACCAGCTGTGCATGCCACTTTGTTTGGCAGAAGGATTGGGCAAAAGTATGTGTTTTTCTTGTATTTGTACAGGCTTGAAACCGAATTTGGTTATGGTCACACTCCTTCTGCTTTGGGACTGCTTTGCTGTTTCTTCAAGCAGTGCATACCTACCTATGCAGATGGTTGTACTAAGCAAATTTTAACCTCTCAAGGTGGATCACTCTGAATGGAAATGAGAGAAATTTTTCTTTTTAAAGTGGGAGGACCGTGTTATTGAAGAAAGGAGGGAATCATTGTTCCCAAAACCTTCTGGCAGGAGCTGGCAAAAACTCAATTAAATGATGCAGACAAGATTATAATGATACCCTTGGCAGTTAGAATTGTATCAGTTTAGGCATTTGCTTTGTCTGAATGTGACAGGGGGAACTGTGCAACCAAGTCAATATTTTTAAGGGAAGGCTATTTATGTCAATTCTGAGACATCATTGTTTTAAATCTAATATTATTATAGTTGGATCCTGAGACTTTTATAATCAGACAATAGTAGAAGAAAAGTTTAGAGGCTTTACTGGCTAATTTCGCTTTATTTTTTTTGGCTTCTTATCTTGATGTAGCTTGGATCGTTTTGCAGTAGTGTAGAAATTCTGCATCCAGCACAATTATGGGTGGAATACTGCATTGTAGTATTGCCACTGTGTCACTTCATGTCTTTGCCCAAGGAATTCTTGTCCTTTATGTCACTCTGTCCTAGGAGTAGAGATCTGCATTCGAGCTCCCTCTCTCTGTGCCCTGCTTCCCTTTTCCCTTGGGGGTGCCACACTGTTGTCTGCATAAGAGCCTATGCAAGGTATTCCAGAAGCCCCGTTCCTAGCAGCCAGGGGAGCAGAGCTTGACTGCAGGAGCTGCAAACAGCCTCTCATCTGCACTCCGTAAAGCAGTGCTGAGGAAAATGAGAGCAGGGTATTTGAGAGCGTTGGGATTCACAGGTGACAGGGACACAGCAGGGGAGAGCTGTTGGGTGTGCAGTGAGCCCAGAATTCCCGAGTGGCTGCAGACTGGCTGTGTCCCTGTGCTGCTGGCAGCATTGCCCAGGAGGGAGATGGTGCACTGGAATATGGGGTAGTTTACACTGGTTTGCTGACTTGCTTCAAGAAGCAAGATTTAAGATGAGGTACAGGGTAATAACTTGCTCCTTCAACAAGCCCTATTGCTAAACAGCGATACAGAAGAATAGCATGGTCAGTGACTTCCAAAAATTAGACCTTCTGCTGCTTCATGATTCAGATGGCAATTAATTTCCTTTCCTTAAGTGAGAAAATCTCTTGGCTGTGCAAGGTTACTCTGTCAGAGGGGGATTTCTGCATTGGTAAATGGGATTCAGAGCCTTTGATACCACCATCAGTATTAAGAAAGATGGCAGATTGCGGACAGAGTTCGTGCATTAGTTGGGATGTGGCTGCCAAAATGCATGTAACAATGCTCTTAATGATTACAGAGAGCTCTTTTGTAGCTGGTTGGCAGTGGTGGCTCCACAGATTTGGGTGCCATGTACTGAGTCATTGTGTGAGGAAGTGCCTGGCTGCTCAGTGCCAAAGGGGTGATGCTAGACACAGCTGTGATCTCCACACAGGAAGCTTCATGCAAATGTTAATTTACTCTCCTTATGTGTCCAGGCTGCCTTCAGTAAGATTCCTATAGGATTCATACCCCTTGGAAAAACTTGCACTTTGAGCCACACACTGTATCCTGAGAGCACGAATCAAGTCCAGTAAGTATGGCATGTTTCTGAAACATGGTTGTTTGTTTTCAAGGGAGCAGTGCTTCTTGGTAGCTTGATGCTTTTCTTTTTCTTCTGTGTTACATAGAAGTTGGCAGTCTCTGGGCAGAGCCTGATGATTCTCTGGAGTTGCCTGAGTTAATGACTTCCAAAAACTGACTAAAAATTAAAAGGAAATGTATGTATTATTAGAAATCATTTGCTGTGTCTAATTTCTCTGTGATCGTGTGATGCTCAGAGTTTAAAAAGAAAAAGGGATTAAAAGGATCAGCCTCTTAGGAATAGCAGGAAGGGTATGACAAGGATATAGCAAGGATATTACAAAATAAGCCAAAAATAAGTCCTCTTTCTGACCCTTCTCCAGTCTAAGAATTCTAGAAACCAGTCCACATATAGCCTGGTTAGGACCTGCAAAGTAAGGCATACAATATGGGGAAGGTTGTATCCCATTACTAACTTTTGCAGGGCAGAACTGACTTTTCCCTGTGGTGGGACTGATGGTGGCAGTAATCCAACAACCCAATTCTTATCTTCAGCATCCTGGATATGATCCAGTCTGGTGGTATCTGTTGCCTGCAGTTCAGTTTGTTGCAGGATTGCTTTGTTCTCTTATAAAGAGAAAAGGGAGTCAAATAAACTTTGTTTTCCCCACACTTCATTTCTTTTTAATTTTTTCCTTCCTCTCCTCTCATTTCTTCTTGATCCTGAAATCTTTTCACTGTCACTCTCCCAGTAACTCATTAACATTGTTCTTTGTGGAACCCTTGCTGGTATCCATCATACATAAAACCCATGAGTCAACTGGCATAACATCCTTTATTAAAACTGCAAGAGTGCTTTGAAGCTCAGAAAGGTGGACAAGGCTGTAATCAGCAGCTAAGATTAAAATAATTTTTGTTTGGGTTCTAAAGAAGCTGATGAAATGGATGATCTTCTTGTCTCAAGGTAATGAACTGTGCAGGTAGGACTGCTGCACACTGGCGAAGCTGAAGGGTAATTTGGTCAATAGGCTGCTTAACAACCCACACCAGTAACAGAACCTGAATTAAGAAGTGTAGAAATTATATTTTTTGAAGAAATATTTGGGTTTTGGTTCCTTCAGCACTCTCTTACTTTGGAGTGTAGGAACAGTAAAGGTCTTAGAGAAAGATAAGAGCTGGGAGAGAAGATGGGCTGTGAAAATAACAGCTTCCTTATCTGTCTCAGTATTACAGTCCTGATGAAACCAGGGGCAGTTTCTCCCACTGATTCACATGAATCATGGGCTGGATCTGAAAACTGCATTTTTTTTCCTTGTCCAGCTGAGACACTGGATATGTATGCAGTGTGGAAACTAATTATTACCCAAGTTTGAAAACAAGGAAGGGGTTTCAATCAAGTGTATGCTTCAAGGTTTGAACATAGATTATTTAGTGGACTCGGACACTTTGGTTACAAAATCTTTACAGCTTGAAATGGCAAAGTGCCCTGGCTACTGTCCACAACTTAATGGAGACCTAAACTATATGAGCACTGCTGATAGGTAGATTTACATTGATTAAAAGCTTCAAAATAAATTAGCACATACTAAAGCAGTTAAATCTCTGACACCTAAGTTGAAAGTAGTCATGCTGTCCCCTTCTCTCCCAGGCTCTAATAACTGCTACCACTAAAATAAGACCATGATTTAGGCCCTTAGCGTGTTAAGTATCCGAAACAGGATGTAATACAGTTGGCCTCTGACCTGCCAGGTTAGCCAAAAGCTTAGGCTGATAATTTCCTTTTGCTTTTTGTGTATTTTGCTGTTTGCTAGGTTTTGTCATGTGTTGCAGCCACCCGTTTTGCTTTCTGATCTCAATTAAGTGCAGCACAATTCCCTGGGGTTTTTACTTTTGCTGAAAAAAAGCCCCACCTGGACTCTTAGTGGAATTTGCTGGGAAAAAAAAAAGTAATTTTAAAGCTTATTCATTTCCTTTCTTCCTGTTTTCTTTGCTTTTTTTCTGTTTGTTTTGCAGACATATTACTAATGCTACATTGGCCATTTTGAAAGGAGAGACAGTTCCACTTGATGTGTTGCAGATCAAGGTGAAAGCATCTACTTATTTGGAGCCAAACATTCCTAAAACTTTCCTGTTCTCATGTTTTTATGGTTACATGGACTGGTTTTCCTTTGTGTATTGCTGTTAGAAATTTTGGTTTATGATATCAGCAGTTCTGCTGGTAGTGATTTCTCCATCATGTGCTGTGGCATCAGACAGTCTAAACAGAAGAAAACACTAGAATGCCTCAACATCACCTTTCTTTGAGACTCAGAGAGTATTGATGAATACAAAACTTAGTACAGTGATATTTCTGTAGCAGTGGTGAGAGATAGCAGTGACTGCTGATTTGATGCACTCATGTGTATTGTGAAGTTAATAGCTTTCTTTGACAAACTGAAAAATACAAAATGGGAAAACCTTTGACTATACCTCTTATGGTTTCTGAATATTATTTTTCTGTTCAGTTGTGGAATGGACATTTCTGCAGCAAGTGTTGTGTCGATGTGCAGAGCTCCTTGCTATTGGCTAACAGTCAAATCCACAAAATGAAATGGCCATTGCTGGGTGTGCAGTCAAACTCAGGCTATCTGTTCCAAACTTCACCACTTATGTTCCTTCCTGGAGCAGATGGAATGTGCAGTGCTCAGATTCTGCTAAGCTATATTGTTGCTAGCTCTTTTTCATACCTCTTCTGTTAAATTTCTGTATAGAAATTTAACATAAATTTTTATGTAGAGATGCTATTTTTGTAACTCCAGAAAATAAAGCTGGAAACAAGGTAAGATAAAGCAATTTTGTAATGTCTGTTTTTCTTTACAGGGAGAAAAGGAGCAGCCTGTGTTTGCAGTCTCTGGTTTAAGATGGGGATCTTACAGAGATGCAGGAGTTAAAGTTAGCAAGTAAGAAAATGCTGTTTTTTGAAACTGCACCCTTTTTAGCATCTGTTGCCTAAAAAGACACACCCCCCTCTCTCAAGTAAGTCTTTTTTTTTGAGTGTAGGTATCTGACAGGCAGAGGCACCCACTCTTGCTATGTCTTGCATTACACACAGGAGTGTAAGATGTATCAGAATTCTTGTAATTTGAAATAAATACTTACTCACTGCTGACCTGTTCTTTTAAGTATTTAAAAAAATACTTTGTGGTATGCTTTGTGGTATCTGCTTCTGGAACTTTCCTGAAGGAGAAGTAACAGGGTGACCCTGTTACAATCTGAATAAAGTCTAAGTAAAGTAATTGGCCATTGTTTTTCATCATCTGCCAATGAAAAGCTGCATGCGTACTCTGAAACTCTATTCCAACAAGGGACAAGATGCAGTATAAATTCCCTTCAGGTTCCTGCCAGAAATGGCATGGACTGTGCTATCTGATGACTGTTCTCTGAATGCTAAACTCATAATTACTGAGCTTTCTCCAAATGGACATTTAACATGTCACTGTCTGTGTATCAAATGACAGGCATTTTCTGCTGAAGGAGCAGCAGAGCCAAAGCAGCTCACTCCCCAAACTATTACGGAGGAAATGCAGCTGTAAGGAAATACCATGTGCTCTGTGCATGAGCTGTCGTTGTCAGGAAGGAAGAAGTAGCAGACCTATGGAGTCTGTCTGGCAAATGTTTGAGTAGGTTTGAGAGGTGATGTGGGATGGGGGAGATGCAGTAAATGGTCAGGTTGTTTGTCCCTGGGAAGCCAGGGACATTCTTAGTAGGCTGTGTAGGTGCTGACTTGGCTGTGCTGCAGGCTCTCCTGCTAATTGCAGCCCCCAGTTCAAGGAAGTGCATTTCTCTCTGCTCAGCACTCCTACTGGCCTTCCTGCCCGTGCCCTGGTTTTCTTCTGGTGTCAGCCTTCACATCTTTCCCTGCAGCACTTCCCTTTTGTAAGAGTCCTTTGGGCTCAGTGCTGAAGGCATGACAACACCTTTGGTACGTGAGGCACGTGGACATCCTCAAGCCTTGCCTCCTTCCATAAATGCTTTTGAATGCAGAGAAGCATGTCCAGCTTGGAAAGCACTTCAGCAACAAATAAACAGGCCCTCAGAGTCTGCTTGGAACAAAATCCTCGTGTGCTTGTCCTCTTTTTATACTTTCCACTTCATCCACTTCTGCTCCCTGTGAGAGATGGGTTATTGGTCTAAAAACATTTGGTGTGTTCCAGTGCTGCTGATCTTAAACTGAAAAGAAGTCAAAGGGAGTTAAGCCGTAAGACACAGTTTCAGAAGTGTGTCTGACTATCCCTCTGCTAAGGACTGTGCTGCCGGAGACCTGGTGCTCTTTTATGTTACTATTTTACAGACAGTTTAGTGGTTTGAGGGCATTTAATGTGGTGGCACAGTTGCATGTCTTAATGGTTAATGAGATCCTTAGATCTACAGTACTCTTGAGCTGGTGGTGTTTAATATGCTTTGTTGACCCTCTTTGGAGAAAGATGGTGATCAAAATGTGTGCCAAGCCTGCCTAAATACAGTCACATCTTTAGATTCTATACAGTGCTGTGTGGCTGGCAGGATTTCTATTTTGTAAAACCCTGATTTTAATGTGAGAATCCTTTGGGACTAATGAGTGTTTGCTGGTTCTTTTGTCACTGAAGCTTTTGGTTTTTTGTTTGTTTTCTCTGACCTTTGGAAATACGCTGTATTACATATTGTGAAGATGCACACCACCAGCTGTTAGACAACAGCCCTTCAAATCATCCCCAGTTGTCTCACAGAACAAAGTAAAATTCTGATAGTGAGATGTTCTGCTGCCCATAGTGAAGATTATACACTGCAGTTTGGCGATGTGTAGCTCAGGACAGGGATGTCACTGCTAGGCTGCTAATGTGTAGAAAGTATCTCACAGTATCAAGAAGCTAAAGATTGTCAGGGAGTACTAACTCAGTGGCAAGCAAGTCTGTGTGCTCTGACTTCATGCAAGATTTCTCCCTTTCCCAGTATTGACCCCTGGATATCTTAGAAGTTCTATTTCTGTTCTTTTTTCAGGTACTGGTACCTTGGACCTCTGAAAACCAAAGCAGCTCATTTTTTCAGTACATTTAAGGTAAACATTAATTGTGAGGATATTTTTGGAAATTGTGAGGGAATATGTTTGGTTGGGAAATGAACAGGCTGACTTTGCTTTGTATAATCTATCCTCAAGCTTTTGTGAAGGGTTCTGGTAACAACATAAAATGGGACTAAAACTCAACTTCTTAAAAAGTCTACCAATTGATAGACTTACTTTTGAAGAGAGGAAGGGGAAAATAAATACTTTTTAAAAAAAAATTTACATTTTTTTGCTGCAAGATCACCAGGGGAAGCCAATAACCCCCTGTGAAACTGGTGAGCAGCAATGGTGAAGTGTTAAAGTGCTCAGCCACCTTTTCTCAACAGTCTTTGTAATAACATTTTACTCTGATTTATTCATCTAGCAGAAGGATCTATAATTAGACTGCTCTTTTACATTGATTATCAGACTTCCTTGTGTAGTAAAACGAACATGAAGATGAATAGCTTTTATCTCACCTTAAACTTTTCTGTTACTTAAAACTGATCCTGGAAAGATTAAAATTTGACCTGCATGAAAGGTAAGGCATTTTCATTCACGTGGTTTTCCTGTTCTCTGAACATATAAGGAACCTCATGAAAGGCAGTGAAAATACCCAGGAGCTGGTACAGTAGATGAAATAGTGCAGTCTAGCCATGCTGGCTGTGAGAGTGACAATGCTTCCTTTATAGGAAACTCCTGTAAAGGGGAACTTAAAAGTAATGTATACAGGAAAGTTGGAGTGGGTTTCCCCCTCCCCCCACCAATCCCCAGAAAATTTGAGGTTATGCTTCTGTGTGCTGGCATTCTAGGTAGAAAACTGTTCTTAATTTCTGTCCACCTCCTTTCTCATTTCCTTTGAGTCCTTAGGCTGAACTGGGGGTGGTGATAGTGGACTTCTCTGGTGAGCTATTAATTGTACATTAAAAAGATCTGTTTAACCTGCTGAAGGTTAAAGAGAAGTGCCCACTTCTTTAGCCATTTAGATAGACAACTTTCTAGCTGATATCACCTAATTGTGGTATTCATTGCTTTATGTGCCTCTTATGTTATCATTTTGTTAATTTCTACAAGAAGTGGCTCCAGCCTGTTGAGTTTAATCTCTTCCTGGCTTGTGGTTGCTGCTCCACACTTCATATTTTCTGTTTTTACTGTGGGTGCCTTTTGAAACAGGATGATCTGTAGCTGAAAAAAAGTGTAATGGGAAACATCACCTCTGATATTGGTAGGGGCATTGTTATGAGTATTATCATCTCTTCTAAAATACACAATAAATTATATTTAATAATTATGTATATAGAAAATATACAAAAAATTATCACAGCTGCTTTCCCATTTAATCATTAATATTTATTGTTTGTGTACTGCCCTACTGATACAACCTCTGTCCTGCTTATTATGTGAGTATGAGAATGGAGTCTTTCCTTGCTCTCAGAGGTGTGAGGTGAATTAATTTAACAACCTATGCTATATGATTGATCCAAAACGACTTCTGAAGTTTTGTGCATTGAAAAATAATTGTATTGAGTTAATGTGGGCTCTTGGCTGTGTTGTTTTAGTATATAGATTTAAAAAACAATTCAGTTATTCTTTCCCTAAGTCCTGTGCTTGGAGCATTTCAGAAATTATTTTCAAAACAATGACAGGAAATAAACTTTGTCAGCAGAGATATTTCAAAAGCTAAGGTTCTTCTGTAGCCCTGGTACTGGAATCTGAAATATCACCAAGAGTAATGTGTTAGTACTTTTCTTTTTATTTTTCTTTTTTTAAGCTGCTTTATAGAGCTCACATGACTTGCCTTAAGAGCTGTTGTGTTACTGTTTAGAAGCACCTGCCTATCAGGTCAGATCTGGATTGTTTGAGTTGCTGGAGAACAAAGGCCTGTCAGGTTTTAGTGCCCCTTGGCTGCACACAGCACTGTAGTCTTTGTCTGTTTCCACTGGATCCCACTGAGCAGTTGCTCTTTGAGGTTGCCTTTGTGCCATGCAGAAACCAACTGTGCTTTCAGACATCACTGTTGACCTGTCTGGTTTGGGTTGTTCCCTCCAGCCAGAAGCAGCTGGGTCACCCTGCCACACATCAGCAGCAAAGGAAACATCCCCATCACCCCCTGTTCATGGAGGGGAAAACACCCTCACTTCTGTGCAGGGAAGGATTAGATTAGTGGATTTGGGAACTGTGGGTAATCTTTTTGAAACTGCAGAAATGTCATCTCACCAATGAAACTGGAGACTGGAGAGCCATAAAGGCAGTGGGGGGGTCTGAGTAGCTCTGCAGGACTACGTGTGAGTACACAATAGATGTGCTACAGGACTAAAGAGAATAAACAGGTAATGCCCTAAACAAAATGCCCTTTTATCTTCTGTGGTTTCTTTCCATGCAAATACAAGGAGTGGCCTCAGAAACATCAAGCTGCTCTCATATACCTGGGTCCAACTGAGAGACCTCCAGAAGAGCCAGAGGAGGAGTCATCCAGACTTCCTTTTCATGTGAGGCTTTACAGACGACTTCTTTCGTACTGGTCACGTCCAAAAGGTGGGCTGGGTGTGTTCTAGCATAAACTCATGTGCATTCTCTACTCCTCTAACAGATCCAGGGATGTGTTGTGTGGAGGGCATGTCTACTTTACTGCTCTCTTTTTTATTACTGTTATTTCTTTGTTTGTTTCTTTTTTTTTATTTATTTAAACTGTGATTTTTATCAAGACTGTACTAGTGGCATCTGTCAAAAATGGAACGGAGTCATCCTGCCAGTGTTTGTGGTCTCATAAACAAATACTCATTTGTAAAGAGCCCAGGGCATTCCCTGGACTCACAGTTGCCATTGCAATGGAGGCATCCATAGAGGGTACTTGGCACTTCTGGGTGAGCTTCTTGAAATCTTCTTCCAGCAGAATGGCTTCTTAGTGGGCTGGAAAGAGAGGAGCAGCCCTTGTTTTCCAGGGTGGGGAGGGTTCCTGACACAGAGCAACAAATGTTACTCTAAACAGAACAGTAAAATTTGGGCCATGCAGAATCCCTAAATTTCTCTTACTATGTTAAATTCTTCCTGTGCCATAAACTTTGTGTTCTCTGAGCCTCTCTTGGTTTGGCCTGGGTTCTGGGCAGTGCACATGGCAGGCCACAGGAGGAAGGAGAGTGGGTATTTTGCACAGTCTGGTGCAAAGACCTCGTTCCTCCTTAGCTAGTAGAGGTGATTCATGCAGGAGCATGAACCAAGTGACTTGGGGATGACAACTGAACTGTGGAGCTGCCTCCTGTAGAAAATGTGTTACCACAGCCTCCTGAACATTAGATTCCTGTTTTTTTGGCACTAGCACTTCATGGGTTTTCTAAATGTTCCTGTCACCAGCCCAGGAGATCTGTTAATCCCTGGACATAAGGACTCACAGGGCTGTGATGTTCTATGCTTGTCTTTTATGCTGTGTATAAATGCTGATGGTATTTTTTCTTATCTTCAGTACTCCCAAGCTCCCTTTTACTTTTTTAAGATTTTGACATTTTTGAGAAACAAAACTAGTGGCCAAAATGGCTCAGACTGATTTTTGTGTCTGGCATCTGCTTCATAGCGATCTGTGTAATTAAATTCCACTTAATGATTGATACCTTCTCTCTCTGATATGCAGAAGTCTCCCAGGAGGTAGCCCCAGAGGACTGGGAAGAGGTGAAGCTGTCCACCATTGAGCTTTCCATTGCAACTCGGAACAGACAGCTTGATCTAACAGTAAGACCATAAAATAATTGGATTCCAGGTGCTGCCTGCCCACAGAGTTTTCCTGTCTTGCTAAACTCCCATTCTTGGGTCTATTTAAACAACATTTACTACCTCATGCAGGAATAGGTCCATGACTGAATCCAGGAATGCACAAGTTTCAGAGCCAGTGTAAAAGCACTGAAGACCAGTGTAAAACTGGGATGCAGTGAGATCACAAAGAATTGGTGCAAGGTTTCAGTAGCCAGAGAGAAATTTTTAGGATTGCCCATGAGTAAACAAAGCACCAAGAAGCATTCCTTTCCCTCTTCACCTATGTGAGAGTGATTCTCTTTTTCAGCTGCTGCTAGAAGGAGGCTGAGCCTGGGTGTCTGGCTGGGGCTTTTGATTTTTCTCTCGTTTTTTATACTTGCAGAGTGGAGTTAAAAATAATTGGTACCAGGGAAAGGACAGGGGCTACATTGATATGAAGGAAAGAAAGTGCAGGTGGTTGAAAGAATAGAAGCAAGGCAGCAAAGGAACTGTTCCTGTCATAACCTTCTTAGCATGTTCATGCTATTCATTCACTGTTTTAGAGCCTGTCTTTGGCTTATGCCTGTGTTTTGGTGCAACTTTACTGCTGTGAAAGCTATTTGGATAGATGTCAGTCTTTAATTTTACAGGAAAATGCTAACACAATGATCCTATACTCATGAGCTTCCCTTCATTTCCTCCTCAAGGCTGCAGGAAACCCTTGCCACTATACCCAGCTTAACAGGAGGTGCTGAACTTACTTACTTAGAATTTAGGGTCTTTAAGAATATGAAAATGTGAGTTATACTGGTATGTTACCTTGTAGGATCAGACCAAAAGAAGCCCAAACAGGACAATATATGTTCTCCTGGTTTCTCCTGAGAACATACTGCATGAACTTTAGTTTCTTTTTCATCGTGGTTTATTATTTGGACTGTCAGTGTTCTAGTAATGGTAGAAGCTAGACAGAGACTAGTATTTGGGTATTTTTTTTAGTGGTTTCAAGGTGGCACTTGAACACAAGAGTTTTAGTTGTTGAACTGGATTGGAGCCAGTGATGTAAAGTAAAAACAGACCTGCCAAGAACAGAAAAAGTATCTGATTGCTACAAACTAGCCCTTATGCTCTTTCTGGTTTTTTTGTTTGTCTCCTTTAGGCCTTCAAGATGCACTTTAATATTGGTTTTGAAAAGAAGGAACTGATGTAGGGTTCTCAGGTCTGTTGCATTGTCTAGAAAAATGGACAAGTTCATGTTAGAACAGTTGTACTTTCCTGTTTCTAGAGTTGGAATTATCTTGGTGCTGCATCTCTTTTTCGACAAGTGTGGATCCCTTATCATTGCGTTAAGGTCCCTAAAGTTGAAACCACTGTCCCTGTATGCCTCAAAGCTGAACAGGTCTCTGGAATCAATGCCAGGCCATATCTGCTGACTGCTGCCAGCCACTCCTGTCTCTGTGTCTCACCTCAGATTCATGCAGAGGCTGCCCCATTGAAGAGAAGCTGATAAAGCCATACAGGTGCAGCTCAGGCAGTGCCTCTGCAGAACAGCAAAGAAATAAACCAAGTTACACTAATAGATGCATTTATTTTTACTTTTGTCATTTTGATTGCATCTGCACTAGGACTTTTGCCAGGACAGAAATGTTAAAATAAAGGAAAAAAAAAAATTGCATCTTAATCAAAGTTGCTTTCCTGGAAAAAGCTGTACTGTATACTCATTTTAAGGGCAGGCTGTAAATAGGAAAGAAGCTAAATAAGGAGTTTCAAGGATTGTTATCAAGGACACTTTGATTTCCAATTCATATTGTTTAAAATTCCCTTACTGTGGTGTTGGGTGGCCAAATGTTGTATCATTGTACGATTGCTTAAATTCATGAAAGACCCATTGAATAGAAATTAAATAAGTGAACCTAAGAGATTTGCTATTGTCTTTAAATGTAACAAGAAGCCAAACCTGTGACTCATTGTTTTGCTTCTTGTGGTATTTATTGAATATTCATTAATGGGAAAATACTGTCTGTAATTTCTAATTCACATCTCAAGTTACCATTTGAATAAAGCATGAAATGCAGAATATATATCTTCTGCCTCCTTTTGCGGGACAAAGGACTGGCCATTGTGTGAACATATTGCAGTATCATGGGTGTGGCATTTTCAAATGTTAACTGCTTGATTTCTGAATCCTTTTTTGCACAGCGCACTGAGGACTTCATGGACATTTGCATCGAAGCAGAGAATGTCAGCAAAGGGCAGTTTGTTCACAGAGGGTGAGTATGGAAGGGCTGCAGAAAGGGGACAGGATCTCTGAAAAGTGGGCTGGTTTTCTCTCATGCTGTGCTGCAAAATTCAGAAGCAGAGGACTGCAAAGCACACCAGTCAGTACTGTTTCACAGGGACTAACACTTTGGTTCTTTAAAATTCTTACTCATCTTCTGTTTCTGTAAACAAGGCAGAACTCCAGAACCTGGAGTGTTGGTATTCAGAACCTGGAGTTCTTCCTAGATTCTGAGTTTGCTAAATCTTTTGTCTGTTCCCCTGTTGCTGTAAGTCACTACTGCTTGGATATTACTGAGTTTTATAGGCAACTATGCAGACTTAGCCCAGAATCTCTTAGCCCTAGCTGCTCCATGGATTGAGAGGTGGGTCACAGAGCTGGTATGTTTGTACTACTAGTACCTGGGAATTTTTGAACTGTGATTAGACAGGCCCTCTTTGAAAAAAAGAGCTTCCCTGCCTCAGTAGCTCTTGTGAGAAATTAAGTCTGAGCTGGAAGAACTTTGGAAGATGTGAATTTAAACGCGGACTTTAAGCAAATGTCCTGCTTGTATGTAGAATAAGAAGGCTGCAGCTATGAAGAAGCAGCATGTGGAGAAAGTGAGTGTTACTGCTTCATTTGTGCTTGAGATGTTGTCTTGTGGTGTGCTTATTCCTCATGTTCTCACAAGACACAAATCAGAACTTTTCCAGCTCCTTCTTACAGTCCCACTCACAGATATGTTGCGTGTTCAGTGCAGGTTTTACCAGCAACAGATTTTCCTGCTAAATCCAAGGGAGCTCCTCTCCATATTACCTTTTTACTTCCTGTTTTCTCAGTCTTCGAGCTCCCTCTAGTGAAATCAATGGGTGGATTTCAGTGCAGTTTTCCCTGCTTCTCATCACCCTAATAGTTCCTGCAAGATATTGTTTATGATACTAATGGTAACTCAGGCCATCCCAGGAGCCTCAGTGGGAACAGAATCTTCTGACCTATGCATACACTGTAAGTCAGGTGTACCTGCAGCTGCTTTTAAATTGCATGATCATGTGGACCGTGGTTGATTGGGACTGATTTGTTTGCTTTGAATGCTACAGAGGGAAAGGAGGAGGCAGTTTTCCTTTTAGAAGCAAGAAGAATCTGGTCTCATAAAGGAGATGCTATTCTGGGTTCTCAAACACTTTGCTAGCAGAAAAATGTAGATGAGCTTGTGTGACTTGAGGGAGGCATATTCTAGTGTATTCCCATTGTAAATAATACCTCCTGTGCTGACTGGACCTCCTTCCTGCAGTAGTGTGGCACATTTTCTTGACTGCACTTACAGTGTCGTGCAGAAAAAGCCTCTGAGGAGCATTACCATTGCCCTGCTGTTGAGAGCTAATTAGAGGCAGTACTGAAAGCTTTGAGCTGTTCAAGCAAAGTTCAGAGAAACGAGCTCTTTTGATTAAATACTGCCAAAAAAGCCTGCAGGTAGCAAAGAAAGACAAAGAGGAGTGTGGGGGGTGGGGGAGCAGTGGGAGGGGATGGTTAGTTGTACATAGGGGAGTACCAGCAAAAAAAAGGTGCACTGTTTTTTCAAGGCAGAATCAGGGTGTTAAGAGGTCCCACTGTGCCTTTGCCAACTGGATTTGAGTTAAGCCCATTATCAGAGGCCCCCCATTGCCTAGCACCTAACAGGGTTTGTCTTTGGAAATGTGTGAAACAGCTCTTTCCTTTTTCTTCTTTTTTAGTACATAGTTTAAATACCAGAATTTGGGGGGTTGAAAAAAGTTTTTAGGGGAAATACGTTATTGGTGCGGATATCAAGGGGTTTTTATATTGGAGAGGGCACTGATATGAGCTGATGAGTCACACAGAGAAAACCACACATCCAGCAGGAAACTACCATGGAGGCTCAGGGAGTGTGTGTGTGTCTGAGGAGGTGTGGGGGTGCATCATTGTGCTGGAGGGCAGCTGCTGCTGGATTTCGCAGAAAGGAGGAGGTCATCCCAGGTGTATAAAAGTGCCCTCTGGCTGCGGGTCAGATTTGTGCGAACAAGAGCATCCACAGCAGCCACAGAGCTGATGTTTAGACAAGGTGGGGGAAGAAGAGTTCTTTACAATGGAGTGCTTACTAAGAAGTGCTGCAGGGAAGGAGAGCAGTCATGGAAAGTGTGGCATTAGTTATTCACCTCCTGGTAGCCAGTTTACATTCTATATGTGAAAATATGGAGAACTGTAACTCCAGGGAACAAGTACAGTTATCATTTACAGTGCAGAAAACTGGGTTTTTTGTTAGAGATCTTACTCTGAATTGTTTCACATTGGCAGCTTCTGGATATGAAAATGAGGGTCCAGTTGTGTGTTACATGCAGTAAGTGTTGTGGTTCTCTCTCTGCCTGTATTTTTGTGGTTCAGCATAGAGTAGGTTGCAACAGTCAATGGAAGCTTGCTGTTAGACTTCTGGTCTTGTTCCTATTTCACATTGCTGTCTGGTCTAGAGTGAGGAGCAGAATCTAAGGGAAATGAATTATGATTTTTTTTTTTTGCTGGACCACTAGAGGTGCAATCACTACAAGTGCAGTTGTGTCTTATTTGCTTCTACCAGTGTTCTCCTTTGATTGATCTTTAATTCTATGTCTTGGCTCTTTTGAGTTTACCTTGACCCAACATTGAAGGCTTATGTGCCTTCATTGATCAAAAATATCTGCTCACTCACCAGAGCATGCCTTGTATGTATTTAGTATCTAGGACCTTGTATGATGAATTTCAAGCAGGTTAAAATTTAAGTGGGGAATGTTGCTGCTTGTTTGTACAGCACTGTATAAACTGACTGTATTGCATGCCATCAAAGATTTATAATTTATATTGCTGGAGGATGTTTAATTCCCTCACAGTCACTCATCAATCTTTCAGTGTATACATATTTGATTAAAACCAAACTTTCCACAGTTAATATTGCTTCTGTCCTTCCCTGCCCTTTCCTTAGCTTTTCTTGATTTGTCTTTGATTTTCATCTCCTGTTTCAACCCTCTCTTCTCATATTCTTTCTCTGGGATTTTCTGTGACTTTAGAGTTGCTGCTTTCCTCAGGGCATAGAAGACTTGGTGTACAGGGAGATTCTGGCATGCTTTTGTATGTTCTTTTCCTAGGCAATATTTAAATATACCCTTCTTTCATATCACTCTAGAGATGGAAATTTGGGGACAGCTGGCATTGCCTGTTAGAGAAATATCTGTGATAATTCTGCCATGCTTGAGAGTTGTGATGTATTAACACTGTAATTCTGTGCAGTTCTCTTTGCTATTTGTGTGTTGCTGTCTGTCAGGAGAGGAGCCCAAACAGAGAGGCTGCTGCCTGGGGTGCAGTGTACCCTTTGCTGGTGGTCAGTCAGAAGGTTATGTGTGTTCTTAGTCAGGAGGCCAGAGGAAGGTCAGCACAGCCCAGAGCTTGTGCTCACTCTGCAGCAGCACTTGTGGGGAAAAGGAATCACAACTCACTGTTCTCTAACAGCTGAGCCAGTGACAGGACAGCAGCCTAAGCCTTGAAAAAGACCACGTGGCACTTGCATCACCAGCTTTCCAAGACAGGAAACTGCATTCCATGTGCTCCCTTTTGACATCACCAGAAGTAGGAAGGAAAGCAGCACTTATCTAAGTTGAGTACATAAATAAGAATCTCACAGGCCCCAGAAGAGAGGAGCTGTCAAAACTGGATATGTTATTTGGAATGGATGAAATGATGGGGGTTTTTATCATGAGTGATAACACAAGCAGCTGATCAGAAATGTCATGCTGATTGGTGTTGATATGAAAAACGTGGGGTATTTTTTTGTTTTTAGATAGTAATTTAATGGTTCACAGTAACTATAATTCTGTCTTTTTTGGCTTAGGTTGTTTAGTTTGCTGGGAAGCTTAGGTGCATGAGATATCAGGAAATGGTAGTCACTGCAGGAAGTGCACAGTTCAGCATGGACGTGAAGAGCACAAAACCATGCTCAATGTTCAAATACATTCAGTGAGCCTCAGAGCAGAAGCTGGTTGGAGGCTGTCAGTGCATTCTGATATGCATTGACTGCAGCAGAAGAGGGAAGGACTCTTGTAGTTTTTCACAGTTATACCCACAAATACATATCTATATCTATATCTCCTCTAAGTTTACCAAATGCATAGTGATTTACCACAACAAGATGTCATCCCTGAAGAAGGCTGTTTCTGAAAGAAGCATGTCCTTACCTTACCTCTCTTTTGGTTTGGACAGAAGTCAAAAGATGCGTGATCCACACATGTGCCCTGAAGGGAGTCAGCACATCCAAGCCAGCAGATGCATCTTAAAACTTCCAGAGGTGAGAAGCTGAGAGAGCTGAAACACTCTTTCACTTTGTTTCTTGTACCTGTTGATGCTGCACTTCAAGAAATTCCTACTCTAAATCTGGGAGATTGATTACAGTGCAAGTGAGACACTCAGTTCCACAGCACAGCCAATGAGTCTCTTGCCAGGACAGATAGACTGCAGCTACCCAAGTGGTCTGTAAACCTGAAGGGGGAGCTTTGTTCTGCTGGGAAATAATGGCAGATCTTTTATGAAGACAGTCATGGTGGTTAAAGGGTCTCTTACTTGAGTTCATTGCATACAAATGGGAAGTTTCACTTGAACCTGAGGAAAAATTACTGTGCAGATAACCAGGCACTGGAACAGACTGCACAGAGAGGTTATGGAGTCTCCCTCACTGGAGATACGAATCATCTGGACACAGTCCTGTGCAATGTGCTCTGGGATGACCCTGCTTGAACAGGGAGGCTGGACCAGATGATCCACTGTTGATTCCAACAGACCCGTGCTGTGATATGCTGTGATATATGGATCTTCTCCTTAGCATTGAATATGTGTACATTTTGCCCTAGAAGGCATTGTGCTGTAGAGAAGATAAATACTAGAGACAAAAAAGGGTAAGACAGGGCAGAGGAGCTGAGATTGGTACATGGAAATGCCTCAAAACTTTGAAATGATGAAACTGAGAAAAAAGACAAAGCTGTGTCTGACTGTGTAATTCAGATGTGTCTTTTTCTGCCTCTGAGCTGTTATTGCAGCCTTGGGAGGACAGTTTCTTGTTTTTGCAAGGACATGAAATCAATCTCATAGATAATTTCTGTCTTCAAGTGATCTATCATTTGGCAAAATAATTCCATATTAAGGAAGAAGGAATGTGTTGAAAGGCAAAAAAATCTGTTGCTACCAAGTGAAAATCATGAATTATGATGTCATGATTAACCAGCATCCTAATACTTCCACTGAGTTCAGATCATGGCAGATTTGTGATTCTGAAAGAATACTCTGCAGTGCTGGGCTAAGTACAGCTGGGCCATAAGTAAGGGTTGTGGTATAAAATCAGCTGTTCATACTGCAGCTGCTGCTAAGATCTTCAGAACATGGGTGCATGGTACAGAGCAGTGTTCAACTCCATGGCCCAGCTCCAGTGAAGGAACTGGAGGCAGCCCAGATGAGTCTCACCAGCTCATGTTGTTGGAGGTGGGTTGCTTTGCTGTACCTCTGACTGCCAGAACTTGTACCAGTTCCTCTAGTCTGTGCTGCTCTGGTGTCCCAGTTCCCTTGGAGTTGGTTTGAATACCCACATAGCACAGCCCTCCCGTGAGTCAAGGGCATGCAGAGCAGTCACTGAAGTTGTTTTTAGGTAAAGTCAGCCTGCCATTTTGATGAATGCTTTTAATCACATGGTGACTTTATCAGCATTAAACGCTTGAGAAAATTCTACTTCTGAGTAATTCCTGGCCAGTAAATTACTTTGCATCTCATGTTTCAGATCAATATAGTAAAACAATGCTGAAAGGGGTTTGTAACACGGATTTAATGGAAGTTACTTAACAGGCATTTCTGCAGATTAGTTTATGTCACCACTGGCAGACCCAAGATCTAAGTGCACATAATTGTAGTTCCAATAGCAAAGAATCCTTCAGTGTAAACAATGTGGGTCATTAGACCTTCCTAGCATTTAATTATCACTAATTAGTAACTAAGTGAGGTAACACCTTATGTACCAGATTCTTAATACATTCTGTGCTTTGAAGGATAGGTCTCCCTGTATTGTGGAGAGGAAATGGGCTGGAAGGCAGAGGCAGGGGATCATCTTGGTTGAGAGTGAGCTAAGTATGCAACTGTATTGTATTAGTAAAATCAGCATTGCAGCCTTGCCAAAATAATGTTTGATGTTTAACTGTTATCTGCACACAGGGCACTGAGGGATCCTTTGGCATTGATAATGAGGAGTATGAAGCTATGCCTGTGGAGGTGAAGCTCTTGCCCCGCAAACTCCAGTTCTTCTGTGATCCCAGAATGAGACAGCAGATGCTGCAGGCAGCAGTACAATGAGAATTCATGGCAAAGGGGCCACTGTTCACCAGTCTTACTAGGGTCTCTTCAGGGCACATGAGACCTAACTAACTTGATTAACCCCACGAGACTAACAAGCCTTTTGGCTGTTTTTATGTGCGAGGTACTTCCATTGGAAGTGTATGATTTAACTGGTCTCAAAGGGGTTAAAAATGCAAATGAAAATTCTGAAAAATGCGTGTTAACTTGATGGCATTGTTCTTTCCCCCTCCCTTAAGAATTCATCATTGTTCCATTTACAGCACTACAGGCTGAGTGCTGTGTGCCAGATGCTACTGCTGTAATGCAATTGTATATTAAAGTGAAATTTAAGTATACTTGTCCTTGTGTCCTGAGTTTAGGTTTACTTACCCACGTAAAAATCTTGCAAAACCTGAGGTCCTGGGAAAAAAAAAAATGTGGGGGAGTAATGCTAAGAAATTCTATGAAATATTGGAATTGCCACATTAAAACAGATGGTTGGTTATCTACTCCATCACAAAATAAACTGGAGATTGGTGATACAAAGCTTTGGAGCAAGTTTAAAAATTCCCCATATGTATCTGGATAAGATATCTATGTTAATTTTTTTCATCTTGCCAGATTCAACAGCACAGGGTTCCAGTAATTATATAGTAGAAGTGTATTCCTTTGATCAATTTAGGTATATTGCACAGAAGCAAACTGGAAAACATCATTGACCCAAAGCTGTGTGAAGTACACTTGGAAAGACTCTTTAACAAGCTGAGTGAGTCTTTTTTTTGTAAGTATTCCTTTTATTCCTGCAGTAGTATAACGCCAATAAGGACATCCAAATAACGTTTATTATTTATTGTGTCTGATTGCTCTTCTCTAATGTAAACAGTGCTCAGCACTCCATATGCCATCTCCATCCCCTTGAGCCTCAGTGCCATAATTGGTTTTGTTGCTTTTATGAGCTTTTGTTTGTAGCTTTGCTTTAATTGCTGCAAGGAAGTATTACTGACTTAGGCAAGCTTGTCTGTTGCCTTCATTCTGACTTGGAAATGCACATGATTCTGCCTTGCTTACTGGAAGAAAGAAAATTATCCTTATTTTTCTGATGGGATTGTCTGTAGTCTATGTGTTATGCTGTGGTCTAGTCTAAGTTCACTTGTTGATTCTCTGCTGTTACCAAAATACAGACACAAGTGAGTTGGCTTCCAGCAGCTCTGTCAAGGACTGAATCCTGGCAGCCTGCGCTCCAACAGCATCCTCTGCTGGAGACATCTTAAAGGAAAAATGCCTCGAAAGGGGAAGCAAGGTTGCGTTTCTGCATGATGCTGAAACCAAAGTGAATGTTCTTCTTCCCTGGACTACACTTTGGAGAGACAAATTACCTAAACTATAGGTGATCTTTAAAGTCCCTTCCAGCCCTAGCTGTTCCATAAGTCTTGACTGAGATCAAAGGGGGTAGAAGCCTGCTAGTTCCTTTTCATAGTTGCGCTGGTGACAGGACCTGGTTTGTGCCATCTTTTGGTCTGCAGTAATGAGGAGTGCCCAGTGGAGCCCTGGGTCACTCTCCAAAGAGCATGGTGGTTGTGCTTTGCTCTTTTTGATTGCCACAGAGACACCTGGGACATTGTGCTGCAGCCCCTGGCTCATTCAGAGTCAAGGGCAGTTCTCACCACTGGAGTTTTTCCTCAAGTTGATGTTTCTGTAATAAAATCAGCAATGTGTTTTTTCTCCAGTGGCCGGAAAGACAAGGCAGCAGCCATTTCAAAAAGGTAAGCTTTAATTGTATTAAAAAATACCCATGTTTTTAGTAAGCAGTTTCTCGACAGAGCCACAGGTCTATGGGAGCAACCACACATCTGCAAGATGCAAACAACATCAGAGCTGTTAGAATTACAACCAGCCTAGGTTGTAGCAAGGGGTGAGATGGTGAGAACTGGCTCCTTGTTCATCTGTACCATTTTACAGGGAAAATTACTAATTCTCTTCCATAGCTCCCATTGCAATGTGATTTCCTTGCCTGAGGGTAACCAAGAGATCCCTTCAGAATTGGTATTGCTGCTGCTGTTTTGATGTTAAAGTACCAAGGATCATCTGAGACACAGGCTGGTATTTAAATACTCATACTGGCATAAGTTGAGTAACTTGTATAAATAGCATTCAAGTAATTTTCTTCTTCCTCTCAGTTCAGAGTTCTTCCAGTATAGGGTAATTCTAGACCTCTGAACTGTAACATTCAGAGGAGAGGTGTGAGACAGATACTACATAAAATAGGCAGGGGCTGAAACCCACTATGTACAGTGTTGAGAAAAGGACTCAGTTCTGTCTGACAGCAACACAAAAAACTTTCTTTGTACAAACTCCAAGACAGGAAGGAGTAGAAGCCTAGGTCCCACTCATGAACACACTTATCCTGGCTTCAACTTACAGTCCATTCGAGAAGGGCTTATACTGTAAGATAAATAAAAAGGAAGGATAACAATCTAATGATGGACCACCTCAAGGCACCTGTTTATTTTGATTACATTTAAACATTCCCATTTGAATGGCATGTTGCATTAACCAAGATCTAAAATCCTGGTTCACAGGCATTTAGTACCCTGTTTCAGACAGATCACACTGTTAAGTCAATACATTCCAGTCCCTCATAAAAGAAATTTATGCTGTCTTTCCCCATAATCACTACACCACTAGTTTTGGGAAGATGGGAAGAAGACAGCAACTAACTTAGAAGTAATGGCCAGGATGAGAATTTGGGTTAGTGTGCATGCTTTGTACCTAGATTTTTGCTTTATGATAGAGTGCTCTTGCCCTGGTATTCCAGGAGCCACTGTCTTTCCACCTCCCAGAGTGAAGCATGCCTGTCCCTAGCATAGCCTGTGGCCAGGAGGGCCACAGCTACTCCTAGCCTTTTGCTCATTAATTTTGACAGGTGCTAAAATGGGGTATCTCCATAACCCTGCTTTACTGAATAGCCTGTACAGGGAGCTACTTGAAAAGGTGATGGAACTTTGTTCTGTCCATAAGGACGGTGGACAGGCAAGCTCAGCTCCTGTGACAGCCATGACCATTGGCTGTAAGATACACTGCAGTAAGTACCTTGTGTATGCTAGAAAAGAAGGTAAGTAGCATGGCTGTAAGACAAATCTGAATTCTGATTCCATAAAGTGCCTTTCTTCTTAGTATTCATTATAGTTCTTTATTGGCTCTATGCAGCTTGGCCTAACCTTGCGGTGAGAAGACTCTTGGATGATTTAAATGTCTGGCATGATGTTGCTTGTTCAGATTGAAAACTGAGCTTTTATGTCTCTCATAAGCTTTACCCTTCAATGCAGATAGTACAAGTAGTAATAATTCATTGCTTGATTACACATTTCTAGTGCGGCTTGAGTTAAGATGCAGTTAGGAAGCTCTTGTTCTCCTGGTTAAGTATGTACCAGCTGAGAACCTGCACTGGCTATTCAAGGACTTGTTTTGGAGAACAGCTGGGGCACAGCATAGACCTGGTTACTGTAACCACCATTCAAACCTGGGCTCTGATCACAGCAAGTGACCAGAGGCATTACAGCCAAGAAACTGAAGGCACCACTGTAAAGGCAAAGTACTTCAAAGGGAGAAGATAAATCAGCAATACCCTTATCTTAGGCACACTTTCCTCCCTCTTTTTCAAAACAAGCCCAAGTAGATGGCTCCCAGCTGGTAGTATGCAACAAAGCGCCAATTGAGTGCCTAGGAGGGGATTTTGAGTATCTGCATATAACTGTTTTACCTTGAATAATCTCCTGGAAAGATAAGACTTAGTTAAACTGGTTCCACAGAACAGTCCTTCATGTCCCAAGCTATAACAATTTGTTTCTATTATGTACCCATTGCTCATTTCTCTGGGACTTTTCACATGTGACAAAAATAAAAGCAGTATCTTTTAGAAAAGGAGTGCAGTTGAAAGCACTTTTACAGCTAATCAAATAAGGAAGGGTTAGGAGAGAAAAGTCTTTTTCTGTTTTCTGTCAGACAACTTCTGACTTCTGTAGTAGTTGTCTGCCAAGAAAGACTTGGTAGGATGCAAAATTACAAGGAAGAACAAAATAGGCTGTAGCCATCCCACTGGATGTAGCACATAGATGCTACTTCTACAGTAATCTGTACTGTGGGTGCTTCACCCCTGTTACTGCTGACAACTGAAGACCTAATTTCTGGAAAGTAGAGGTTTAGTACATGTCAAATAGGAATTTCAGGAGCTTCTGCTTGGTGGGAGCAGGAGCTTCTGGCAGTGCTGTCTACAGGGCTTGTAAACAACATTGTGCAGGGTGTTAGCCTCTGGCTGTTGTGACTGTAAAATTTCAATTTAACTCAAAGGTTTGTTTCTGTTCAGTTTAGCAAAAGAACTACTGACAAAGAGAATAGAAAGTCATTAACAACTGACCACAGCTAAACTATGCAGCAAACCTTCAAGAAAGTGAGAGGAGAAATTGCTAGAGACTACTAGTTTCAGTTCTGGTTTTTTTTTCTTTTTATGTCTGAAGAAGTGACAGCAATACAAGGGCAGCTCAGCTGTACTTCCTCACAGATCGTCCCTGCAGACAGCATGTTAAAACTGAAGTGGAAGTTAAAGTGTGAAGGTTGTTGGCCACTTTTATACTTCAGATGTCAATTTAATAACAAAGCTATTTCTAAAGGAAAAGAGATCGGTCTTTCCATTAAATGATACTCAGCTGTTCTTGCCTCTTTCTACATATTTTTCCCCACCCTTCTAAGTATGATGATGTTACAGTTGTTGTGAGCAACTGACAGTATGAACAACAGCATATTTTCTTCTCTACAAAAACATCCCAAGCCTTGAAAAAGCAGCCAGAGCAGTGACTGCTCAGAGACAGGCAAATTGCAGGAGCAATTGCCTCCTCCCTTCCAGAGGGAGACAATCCACAGAGGGTATGCTTGGAGAACATTTGTTTCACCTGTTTCAAAAAGGTGCTTGCCTGCTTTTGAGTGGGTGAGGTCTCAGTGGTTCAGGCTCTGTCTCATCCTAGAAAATGCTAGGACAATCAGCTAGTACATCAGCTACAGTTTGCATTCCTACAATGCACAGAGAGCCTCCAAGGGTGCTGAAATCTGTAACTAGAAGCAGCAATTCATCAGCTATAGCCACAGTTCAGGAAGAACAGTAAGCTTGAAGCTGATACTGCTACTGGCTGAAGGATTTGGGGCAAAGCTGTATGTCACACCTAGAACCCACAATACCATTCTTGGATTTTGCATGGCAAAGGGATTACTCTTTACTGGGATAGCCTTCCTGGAGGTAATGACTAGTCAGTCCTTCAGGAACTGAATCCTGTTCTTTCCACAGCATAAGAAAATACCTGTTTCA